AGGGGACAAGTAGCTGCCATTGTCCTGGTGGCTCTGGGCACTGGAAAGTGTTCAAGGCCAGAAGCTGCCTTTCCACAACAGCCAGGGGAGTAACTGGTTATGGATCGGAACTTTTTGAAGAAGCATGGTTAGCCATCTTGGGGATTGGGCTACGGGTGCTACCAAGGCCTTAGAGGCAAGTTGCCTTGCAGATACTTTTAAATGAGAGTTTGGTTTGCTCTTCAGTCAGTTGGTTATCTGCACGCTGGACCGGATGTACTCTGGTCTGCAAGGTTCTGTGCTGCACTAGCGTGGGTGCAGCGTGCCGAATGTGTGCCCTTAACCCTGTTGTGGGAGGTGTGTTGTGTGTGACACTCCCAAACACCACAGTCTGGGACGACCTGGGGGTGTTCTCTTCTTTGCCGAGATAGTCTTGAGTGCCATAAAAGCTCATCGGCAACACTGGGCTTTCTGGTTTACCCTAGAGACTACATTTTAGATGTGGCCATTGATGTAGTTGGACGTTCAATTCCTGTTGCTTTGTTTTACATTAAAGTCGTAAGAGCTTTGCATCAAGCCCCTGCGCACCCTCAGTAAGTCGTGGATCATTGTCCTTGTCCATGTCCTGTCAGTGACTGGGCTGGGCCACCTTGTAAGGCTTAGATGTAAATGTCACCAGATGGTTGGAGCTAGAAACCAGGGGAGAGTAGGCAAGGGCCGATGAGGGGCCTGGTCGGTTTTGTGGCTCATGGTGTGAATTTCTTTCAGATACATTTCTTCATTACATTGTTTTAAACAAACACATACATAAAGGCTTAAAAGAAACAAGGGCTTTTTTTTTTTTTTTAAGGTTTTTGCCATAGGGTGTATTCACTCACTGGAGAGAGATGGGATGGGGGGATGCCGTGCTGCAATCCCTTTTCCTCTCAGGATTTTGGACACACATGTGTGCCCGATGCGATTTTTAGGCCACTATATCCAGGACTCAAACCATGTCTGGCTATCTGGGGGTCCAACATCTTAACCACCACGCCACCTACTGGTCCCTGCACAGATTCTAATTGGTTGACTAATACCTCTCCAGCTGCGTCTGAGTGGGGGTGTTGGGGACCAAGTCCTGGGCAATTGGAATGGCTGGCCCTGGACACGAGGACAAAACTAGCATCCCAGGCCGCAGCTGTTGGTGGTGAGCAGGAGCCAGGCAGCCTCCCAGTGGGCGCTCTACACAGCAAGGACACTGTCCCCGTGGGGTTCCCAGGACTGTCAGGTGTGTCACGGCTGCTGGTCTGTCCCATGGACAACCTCTGGGGCGGTGCAGAGGGTGCTCACCGCCTGCAGCCAGGTCGGCAGGACTGAGGTCGGTGCTCCGGATACGACTCAGCCATGGGGGGCGGGGAGGACGGGAGAGAGACTTTGTGCACCGTGTTCCTTGCCTCTGCGCCTCCTGGGCTGTCTCCTGGTTGTGTAAGCAGCCCTCTTCTTGGGAGTTGGCTGACAGGACCTGCCTGTGAAGACCCTGCATGCAGGGAAGGAGCCAACAGGGCTCCAAGACCACTCTGGTGGGGCGCGGGGGCCTGTCGCCCACTGACGAGCACGGGAGCCTCTCAGGAGACGCACACGCACCGCCACAGACCTATTTTAAACGTGGGTAAAGATGCTGCTTCTTTGGAAAAATGGCCAGAAATGCTGCAACAACGCCTGGGGAAATCTGTTGCTGAAGACTTTCATAACAACCCCAACACCTCAGATGAACTCAGAACAGCCAGTGCGCACCAGGTACCCCTGTAACAGTACTGGCTACAGGTGAGTGACCAGAACCTTGGTCCAGCACTGTCCGTGGTCTCTGGGTGACACCCTCATGACCCACCCCAGGCCCTGTTACAGTCTCTCTTTTTAAAATTGTCCTTCCTTAGTCTTTTATTTGTAGAACATTAATATTTAACAGTAAATATAGAAGAAAAGCGACAAACAAGTAGTTGACTTGCACTGCAGGTGGGAACTCAAGCCATGGCAGAGCAGAAGTTCCTGGTCTTCAGCAGGGTGTGCCGGGGATCCGCCAAGAGTCTGCAGTGTGAACGGCTCATCTTTGTCCTCCCTCAGGGCTCGAACAGCTTAGATGGGAGGGCTGAGCATGACGGCTGGTCCTGATCTTTGCCGTTAAGCTATTTTTCTTGACCTTGTTCTCTGATCCCATACATTCCAGATTGTTCAATGGATCTGTAATGCACTTCTAAGATGAAAGGGAATTTCTTGTTCATTGTTTGCCTGAAATCTTTGCTTACGTTCATCTTAGTAAGCAAAAACTACACTCCAAAGATGCCCAGAAGCTCAGCTACTAAAATTCTCTTAGAGACCTTTGCCAGTGGTCCCGTAGTATAGACCGTCCTGAAGCACGAGTGGTCCAGGCCGTCAGAAGTGGCAGTCGGCGAGGTCCTGTCCCCACTGCCTCTATTTTATTTATTTATTGCCATCATGTGTGCTTGCTGGAGAGAAAGTAAGAAATCACTTTGAAGCTACTGGGTCTGGGACTCAGCTGTGCAGTTGGCCACGTGGGATCCACCTGTCGGAACTGCTCTGCCATCTGGCTGGCCCTGGTTGTTCTGTTTTCTCTGCTCCTACAGCGTGTGAAGCTATGCGTTTTATGAGCTGTATTTGCTGCATTAAGCACATTTTTATAGGCTGTATCTTACTAATTAATTTTTTTTGGGGGGGGAGGTTTTTTCTATAGGGCGTGTGCGCTCGCCAGACAGAGACAGAGAGATAGAAAGCGAGAAATCACCCCCCAGGGGGGATGGCCACGCCGCAATCCCTTCTCCTCCATTCTCCCTTCGGGATCCTGGGCATGTCATGCGCCTGACGTGAGTTTTAGCCACTGGGTTCGAACTGCGGTCGACTACATGGGAGTACAGTGACATAGCCATTACACCAACTGCTGGTCCCTAAATTAATTTTTCAATAAAATGTTTAAAGACCCATGGGGAAAATTGTTGGGCACTTGAGATTCCTCCAGGGTCTAGCTTATTTTAAGAGTCTTATAACCATAAACATTTGACCCCTTTCTCTCTCCCAACAGCGACTTTGGGTCAGTGAGCTGGGCCTCCCACTCTAGTCACACAGCCACTGAGGCCTGGAGCAGCAGAGCCAGATTCCTGATGGCTGGGGAAGCCCTTCCTCTGGCGGCTCCTCGCCAGGCGGCCACGGCCACGGTGTGAGCATCTAGTACAGGGACCTCACCTGCACAGGTCTTTGTGTGCATCTCAGTACCAGCACGCTTTGCCCTGGGCTGCCTCCTGGCAGGAAGTGGGACCTTCTCCATACTTCTGAGTCTGGTGCATCACCTTGTCCTGTGGGTGGCCCAGGTGGGCTAGGTGGCCAGGACAGATCTTCACTGGGGCCCGGGTCTCATTACTGAGAGACAGCCTGATGACAGTCTTTTCCCAGCCCCTTGGCTCTGACCACCTTCCCTCCTTCCAGATCCGCCTTCCTGGCTGAGTTCTGGGCCTGTCCTAGCTCTCCCTGGTGCACAGGCGTGCAGCCCTGCCCAGTCTCTGCAGAGGGAAGGGGCGGACTGCTGACCTGGCCCTGTGGGGTCATTGTGTACTTAGGGTAAGGCTGTGGGGTCCCTGCTGCACTCAGTCCCCCAACCCTTTGGCCACCCGAGTCTGACCAGAGCAGAGAGGCCGAGTCCAGAAGAAGCCAATGGCCGGCAGTGAGTAGGGAACTCAGAGGCCAGCAGGTGGCACTTCCAATCCCCAGACCTGTTGGGGCACCTGGCCCAGCCCAGCGATGGGAAGGAGACCTGAGAGCTGGGCACCATCGCAGCCTCCTTCAAAACCGGGCCCCTTTCCACAAACCTCTTCTGAGCGTCGAGGGCGTCTCTGGACCAACCCCGCCCCCCTCACCCCTGCAGGATGCAGGCTCAGGGCTTGAGTGACAACGGAGAGCCCAGGGGCAAGGGCGCACAGGCAAGCCGGGACCGGAGTGTACTCGGTACCAGGGCGCGGGCGGGGAGTCGAGAACTCAGAGTCTGCGGGTCGGCCGCCGGTCCCGGAGGATGATGGCCCAGGTCCCTGCGGGGATCGCCGGGCGGGCCCGCTCCGGTTCCCGGGGCGGGTTCGGTGCGCCTCTCCCGGCCCACAGCCGGTTACTGATACCCGAGCGGGCGTCCGGGCGCGGCGCGTTCCCAGCTGGCTACTTTCCCGAGGGACCGGCGGGAGGGCGCCCTCCGCGGAAACCTGCCCGGAGC